GCTAAACGCATAGGATTAACGCAAACGCAAAAAAGCTTCCGTCCACACGCAATATTCACCGGATAGTGTCTGTCCACACGAGACAGCTCCGTTTAGCTCCAACCGCTGGAGAAGCTGCAGTACATTATGCAGGAGCCTGTACGTGGCGCTGTAACTTCCTCCACAATAGCAGCGAAGAAGCATGGTTGTCATGGTTGCCCTTCTGTTTATTCTCCGTGGTGGGGGCCGAGGGAACCGGGCAGAGTTTTTCGCCAGTCAACGTGTATTAAAGTTTTAATCTTCCGGACAAAATTATAAAAGTGCCGGTCAAAGGTCTTCTTTGTTATTTATTGAGCTTTAAAACAAATGAATAACGACTCTATATAATATAATAATAAAATACACGGAGCCTCTCTTTTTCCTCCCTCTCTTCTGACAGCGTCAGTGTCTGTCTCATGCAGCAGCTGATCCAGTAATGAGTGACCCGACAGTAAAAAAAAAAATATTTATAACTAGTTTAGGTAGTTCGAGAGGTAATTAGGGCGCACACACGGAGCCGTTGGACCCCCCAGAGCGTTGCGTATGCTGTTCTATCCACCTTGGGACCCGTTATCGTTTCCGCAGTTGTTTACTGTCATATTCGGTCGTCCTCGTGTGGCCAAACGGCCTATATGACACTAAACAGTAACGCAAACAACCGTTTTCATCCTCGTGGTGCCGGGGCCTTAATGTGATCCTACACTTTGGGATGCTAAACCCTTCACATGTTAACGGGGCTCTCCTTGTTCCTTCCCTTCATCTCCTGGCTCTTTGCTGACAGCTGTCACCGACCTTTGATTATCTGTGACTGAAAACAGAGAATACATTGCATTACATTTAGCTTCTATCCAAAAGCACCTTACAATAAGTGCAATCAACAGTGAATATATATCGAGCTATCAATAACACAAAAGATAATCGTTTTTTTGGCTAAGGTTTCAAGCGCAGTGACAATGCAAATGATCCCAGCCCTGGAAGCCTAACAGTTGAAAGCCAAGTCAACATTAAAGTGCTTCTGCCACCTCAGAACACTTCTAAGTGTAAATGTAATGTACTACAAAGATAAGTGTGTTTAACCAACGGAAGAACAGTGGTTGACTAATTTATCACTCTTATCACTGTAATAATCAACTTTCCCTTAACCTGTCCTGTCTTCTTCTAAAGTCTGGACCCTCTAATAGTTCTTTAGCTGGTTTCTCTCCTCTTTGCTACACGATGATCTGGATTGAAAGGCATAGACTCTTCATCAGTTTGAGTTGCACTTCCTGCCAAAGTAACATATTCATTCTGAACAAGCTCACCAGTTTCCACCTGAGGATCTTGATCCACTCATCTGCCTCCACTCCCGTCTTTGCACAGAGATAAAATGTCCTTTCAGGAAACACTAAGCTGTGGAGACAAAGAGAAGAGGAGAGCATTACATTGGATCATCTGGTTTTTACCCAAGGTATTTAATCTCATCTCTTGAGTCAGATTCATTAGCCTTGGTTAGGTCTAGAGAAAAATGTTCTTAAGATCAAAGTATAGGTTCCCTACAAAATGGTTTTACTGATTTTTCTTCCTTGTTTTTAACCCTTGAGCCTCAGCAGTCACTCAATGGCCAAAAGTAAATTAGGGCTAACATGTGCGTTGTAACATAAACCCTGTTATCCCGCAGTTTAGATCGATAACTAAGCAGCAGTGGACTGTGTGTGAAAGGTGGTAACCTCTGCAAATCCACAGCTACCCTTTAGTTACTGTGCACCTCTCCCTCCCTCCCTCCCCCCATTTCCTTCTCTTATTGAACTACTTCCCCTTTTTTCTAAATACAAATATGTTGCTGTCATGGGGAAGTTGCCTCAGAGAGCCTTGCTGTAGCTCATTTCTTCATAGTGTGGCTGTCATCTGAAATGAATGGCCTATATTTTTATCTCTTTAGTAAAATTGCATTTTTCGTTCACTTTTATTATCTTTTGTACAGTTTTTTATTCCAGTTCTTCAACCCTTAAATCATTTTTTCATTAAAACATGTAGGCTATTTCCTATTTGAGAAGTGGAATTGCAGGAGGGAGGAGCACCCTTATTGACTACACGCTACACTCAACAAGTGCTTTATACTTCACACCATTGCTTCAAATGTACCACCATAACATCTTTTTACTTAGGCCCCGGCCCCACGAGGACGAAAACGGTCGTTTGCGTTACTGTTTAGTGTCATATAGACCGTTCGGCCACACAAGGACGATCGAATATGACAGTAAACAACTGCGGAAACGATAACGGGTCCCAAGGTGGATAGAACGGCATACGCAACGCTCTGGGGGGTCCAACGGCTCCGTGTGTGCGCCCTATATACAATCATTTTCTGATAATGATGACGCAATAGCCCCGCCTCTCCCCACCTCTGCTGCTCACCCCGCGTCAAAGTAAACTGCACCCTGAATTCAGATTATTTATCTTTCTCTCGATATGGACATAAACGCGAGTGAAGTCTAATCTGACAGGACGGAGACACGCAGCTCTGCTCACCTGCAGCTCCTCCCGCTGTGATGCAGCGGTGAACGGAGCAAAACACACACTTCAAGTCAGATCATCACCCTTAGCTGTTTTAATTACCTCTCAAACTACCTGAACTAGTTATAAATATGTTTATTTTTACTGTCGGGTCACTCATTACTGGATCAGCTGCTGCATGAGACAGACACTGACGCCGTCTGAAGAGAGGGAGGAAAAAGAGAGGCTCCATGTATTATATTATTATATTA